ACTTAGTGCTTTGGAGTTGGAGTCAAGTATGGGATATCATTGTGGGATTTGGAGCATGTCACTTAGTCTCTACTTGGCTTTAGGGTTGTTGGGTTTTTTTTTTCCATGTGTAAAAGGAGGAATTTAGATAGATAATCTGCATCCCATTCCAGTGTTCTGTGATTTGATTCTTTATTAACAATCTTACATTGGTACACAATTTTTTAGAGCAAGAGTTCTGAGCTCACGAGCTACTCTTTATCAAGCACATACATTATCACTTTTAATCCTCACAACAACTCTATGAGGTAATTACTAATATTTTAACATTCAAATTATTTTTTAAGTAAGGAAATAAGCAAGCTGGGAAGATTAAATGAAATTTCTCAAGGTTTCACAGCTATGAAGTGGAAGGTCTGTCAGATCCAGGTCTACCTGATGGCAAAGACAGGTTCTTAACCACTAGACCGAATTACCACCCTTAGGGAACGTCATTGATCCCAGGGCTTCATTTTACATTTACAATTAGTAGCTATACAAGGACAAGGAACTTGCCCAAGTTCACAGAGCCAAAACTATCAGACAGAGCCGGAACCTGAATCTAGGTTCATTTTCCTCCAAGTCAGTGTATGTCACCTTATACCACACTGCCTGTTTCCCAAAGCTGCAAAACAGCACATGAACAAGCAGGTGGTTAGTATGCCCTATGATTTTAATTATCAGATTTAATAAACATAAATTCAAACAACTAGAGAGATTCTAACTGAAGTCCAGGGTAGGTGAATTTTCCAAAAGAGCAAGAGAAAATAAAACAGACAATGAGAACTGAAGACTAAATTAAAAGGGCTTTAATGTCATTTGCTTCTCTTTACATCAATTTGCAACCAAAATGGTATCTAAATTCCCATTATTCCCTGTTCCTGGGAATGGTCTAGATCGAAAAATATCCTTAGTCCTAAATCCTTGGAGAGCATCATTAGTTTGCACTGACCTTACCGAAAAGCATGAGCCATAGAGAAGCAATTTAAATGGACCACCTCAATTTCTTGCCGAAGTCTCATCATTCCAGCCAGGACGAGCATCTTTTGTAATGTTGAACAGCTTGATGCTTAAAACTTTAGTCAATTTTGAGCTGTCATAAAAAAAGCAGCAGCTCCTTTGCACGGAGGGAATATGTACATGTATTTTGTCCCATCAAAGATGACTTGAAAAGTCCTCCTCCAATTTGCTTTGAGAAAAAATAGCCTTTAAGCTCAGATTAAGCAGGGAAAAACTCCCGATAAAAGTGGATATTTTTCAAAAACTTGCAAGTGACTGCAAAGCCAGTTAACACAGAAAACCTTGTCACCTTAAGTATGCCATTTGTTATCACACATGCCGGAATACATCTATTCATCTTCTTTTAATTGCTTAGCTGAGCTAGAAATACAAAGCGGCTCACTGATGCAGAGACTGTGAAAGAATATTTTGTCATGGAAACTTTGAAAACATTTCAAAGCAGGAGCTCTTCCCTGGTGAAACGAAACCTTCTAGCTCCTTGTTGGGCATTGTGTTCGGCTGATAAGTGTCTAGAAAAAGAGGCCTTCTCTCTGAGTGGCTTTTGCATACATCATCTCATGCTCACAGATGGCTGAGAAAATTCCTACAATTTTCCAAGCAGAGTTTGGGAGAGCAGTAGGTTGTTGTTTCTTCCTCTTTTCTCGAAAAACAACTAGTGAGATTATCCCTGAGTCAGTAGGTAGGTACCTGGTTACCACTGTGAGTGTTATCTGAGACCAATCTTCGGGCATTTTTGAGCCCCTCCTTCCCCTGAAGAATTTTGCTGAAAATAAATAATGCACAAGAATATGCATCTTTTTGAATGTTTTCCCTGAACACCTACTACATCTTTTATGATCCAGGTTTTTAAACTATGCTATTTTATTGAATCTTTACAGCAACTCTATAACATCTATTTAATTATCCCAATTTCACTGACAAAACTGGCAGTTTTCTTGTTAATGAGTAACAACCAGCCTCCGAAACCCACGGTCTTCCACGCTGCCATGCTGATGGAGCTTTGCTCCCTGTCAAACAGCAGCTGTGCCTAGAATATGAGGGAGGGCTTGAAAGTGGTTTTCTTTTTCAAACCCTCTCCACTCATCAATGTTCTGTCAAGAATTCTGGGAAAACTATAATCCAGGTCTTCCAAGAAGGATTGCTGACCCCTGGGGTTTCAAGACCTTTATTCCAAAGGAGATTTTGGGAACAAAAGTTTTAAGGAACTCGATTTCCTGATCAGATCCTCAGCTTTCACATACAGTCTGTTCTTTCCTAAAATTGCCCTGCGAGAGAACACACCTGCAGTTATAGCTACTAGGTTTTCCTTTCCCCACCTCACTCCCCTTTGACAGTTTTCTTTTCCCATTTTATAAAGGAAAAGCACACCTCCCACTAGGACCTTACCTCCATATGGAGTATGTCTCAGGGGATAATTTGAAATACTGCTCTTCAACGAGCAGTATTTCATTTCATTATCTCTAATTAATTATGTCTAATTAAGACACCCTATGTTCCCCTTCCCATGGAACATACACGGAGACATGACTCCTCTCATTAAGAAATGAGTTTTTAATAACTTTTTTACGTTTTGCAATAATAATGTACCAAAAATTAATATGTTTACTTTGGTTTTATAAATTACTAGTTAATAAAAATATTATAATTCAAAAGAAAAAAACATTCTAACTCACAGAGCTTACAAAATTGGGGAAAAAATAATTCCAATTTATGAGCATATTTCAGTACCAGAGAAATATGATAGGATGATCCAAAAAACCTGTCAAAAATATATGTATTTTATTGGGATGAAATTATGTGGGGGAACTGAGAAAAAACAACGTAAAATGACTGACTCTTTTTTTTTTTTTAAAGATTTTATTTTTTTTCCTTTTTCTCCCCAAAGGCCCCTGGTACGTAGTTGTATATTCTTTGTTGTGGGTCCTTCTAGTTGTGGCATGCGGGACGCTGCCTCAGCGTTGTTTGATGAACAGTGCCATGTTCGCGCCCAGGATTCGAACTGACGAAACACTGGGCCGCCTGCAGCGGAGCGCGCGAACTTAACCACTCGGACACAGGGCCAGCCCCTGACTGACTCTTAAAGAAGAATTTGTTCTAGTAATTTTAAAAGGATGGTGGTGTGTATCAAATCATCTTGTGATTTACTAGCTTCCACAGGATACATTTAAAAGTGACTAGTGTAATAGTTTTGTTTTTAAAAGAACATAATTTTAAGGCTAGTTCAGGTCTTCACAAAACACCATATTGATTTGCCATTTTTTTTTTTTTTTTTTTTTTTTTTTTTTTGAGGAAGATTGGCCCTGAGCTAACGTCTGCCACCAATCCTCCTCTTTTTGCTGAGGAAGATTGGCTCTGAGCTAACATTTGGGCCCATCTTCCTCTATTTTATATGTGGGACACCTGCCACAGCATGGCTTGATAAGCAGTGCATAGGTCTGCACCCAGGATCTGACCCTGTGAACCCCGGGCCAGCGAAGTGGAACGTGTGAACTTAACCACTCTGCCACCAGGCTGGCCCCTGATTTGCTATTCTTGACAGATAATGAGAGCAGAACTAGGACACGTGAGGATGAGTACGAAAGGCCAATATTCAGACTATAATGAATGCAAGTAGTTGGGATAATTTCCTCTTCTACAAACCCGTTATATTCATTTCATGAAAAATGTGTTCACATTACACTATTTCCTCTTCTTGTTAATATCTTTGTCATGTGAGAAGATATCAGCATTTTAGTGATTTAGTTACTTAAACTCTTCTGATAATCTCTGTTCCTTGATCGACCCTTCCACTTCACCTCTTCTCTTCTAGTTACAAGAACTGAGGATAGGAATTGTCAGCAAATCAAGTTACAGACTGCTGGAAAGGTTATTGTGCCAGGAACTGCTATTATCTTTCTGACAAAAATTATAACAAGCACGCAAAAAAGGTGCAGCCGGAATTCATTAATAACCGACCACTCAGAAACAGAGGATACCACAGTGCAGATTTTAGAAACAAAAGAAATGGCTGATTTTCAAAGAAAGGCCATAATTCATGTTCAGAATTGATTTTCCTAGCCTTTTTGCTGAGACTGCCAATAAATGAAATGGCTATTTAATTCGGCAATGGTTGGGGTAATATGATGTATGTCAACTAGGAAATTAAAAGATGCTTCATCATTTGCCAGCATTACAAATACTTGCCTGAGCTCTCAACATAAGGCAACCTTGCAATTCAGTTCCATAAAGGTACATCTCAGCCCTGGAAAATTTTTATGGTAGCATGTTCTCACCTGTGTACTTCCCAAAGCACGGACAGAAACACACATGTGTATACATACACACACACGGAAAGCATTGCAATGAGAGGACATGATCTTTAATGGTACTCATTTCACTTTCTGGCATATGTCTACAAACTTAGGCTTTATGGAAAGATATTACTAGATGAGAAAATGGTTTCAAATACACAAATTAGCATTTATTGTAGAATAAAGATTCATATTCTATGACTACAAAGATAATTTTTGCCCAAATTTGTTAAGTGCTATTTACCATGCACTATATATGTTTTACATATCATATCAATTAGGCATCTTGACAACCCTTTGATACAGATACTTTGATTACTTCCGTTTTAAACACAAGGAACCCAGGGCTTAAGGGGCTAATTAAATTGCCAAGGGCCATTTGGCAATAAAGCAGAGTCCCAACCCAAACCCAGGACTGAAAGCTGTTGATCTAAACCTGCTCTGTCCAATATGGTGGGTGCAGCACTTGAAATGAGTCAGCAGAAATTGAACTGTGCTATACGTGGAAAATACACATCAGATTTCAAGGACTTAGAATGTAAAAAGAATGTCAGATATCTCAAGAGTAATGTTTAAATTGATTACATGTTGAAACAACAAAATTCTGGATATATTGGATTAAATTAAAAATATTATCAATTTTTACCTTTTTAAAATTTTCAGTGTGGCCACTAAAAAATTTTAAATTATATATATGATTCGCACTATATTTCTATTGGATAATGCTGATCTAAAGCATGTATAGTGCTATATCTGTATGTATGTATGTATATGTATTTCTTAGTCCAGAAGGATATTAAAGTATTAGAGGATATAAAATATTAGTCCATATTAGTCTGTTTGGGCTGTCATAACAATACCATTGAATAGATGTCTTAAAGAACAGAAATTTATGTTCTGACAGTTCTGGAGGCTAGAAGTCCAAGATGAAGGTGCCAGCATGGTTTTTGGTGAGAAGTCGCTTCCTGGCTTGCGAATGGCCTCCTTTTTGCTGCGTCCTCACATGGCAGAGAGAGAGAGAGAGAACCCTGATATCTCTTCCTCTTCTTATAAGGGAACCAGCCCTATTAGATTAGGGCTTCATTCCCTTTATTCCCTCCCAAAGGCCCTATCTCCAAATACCGTCGCAATGGGGTTAGGGCTTCAAACTATGAATTTTGGGTGGGAGAGGGGTCACGAACATTCAGTCCATAACAACTGGTTATCTCTGGATAATTGAATTCTAGGTGATTTTTATTTTCTCCTTTATATTTTCCTGATAATGTTATACAATATATTTCTTTTTCAGTCAGAAAGCACACACATTTTTCCATTTTGCAAAACAAAATTTGACAATATTATTGTGACTAGAAGCAATAGAATCATTCTTCTGGGTCCTTCCTCATGTTATACTTTCATGCTAAAGATAAAAAAGTTTGTCAATATTAGGCGTTTATTTCTTATTTAGTATTCTATTGCTTCAGTGAACATGTCCATGACTCGTAACTTCTAAGTGGCAAGTTGTCCCCAATGTATAGCAGACTCGAGCCGGACCAGGCCACCCGAGGCAGTCAGTGCTCAGGAAGGTCTCCCTTTACCTCCTGGCGAGCCCAGGCCTCCTGATTCTAGTGGCTCTGAAAGAATGAAGAAACAGGAAGGACAGCTAAAGGTGGAGCATGCTGAGGATTCCAGAGAGGAAGTTCAACGCCAATGCATGGGCAGACATAAGAACTGACCTTGCTTATCCTTCACATACTTGAATCATTTATCTCTTTGTATATAAATAAGGGATATTAAAAATACACAAAGGGATACACTTGTGTATACATATAATAGTATATTATTATTTATATGAAACCTGATGAAATTTTCAGCCTCATTTAACCAGTTGTCAAATGACCAGAAAAGCAGCTGGGAGTTACAGACCAAGATATTTTAGGATAATGGGAGGCTAAATGGGAGCGACAGATTAGTTACAAGCATTTGATTCTCAACAGATTTCACACTTCCTTCTCTACCCCCATTCCAATAGCCATGTCTGCTAGCTATTTAATAACGAAGTTTAAATTCTCTTGGACTATTACAGTAGCTGCAGTAGCAATCTTTTAACATAGTGCTTGCTCGTTCAACTCCTATTATAATTTCCAGTGGAATAAAAAATTGCAAAGTCATTCAAATTCATAGACTAAAGATATATCTATAGTGACAAAGTATAGAATAAAATTCATTATCCTGATAAATTGATGAACATGGACAGTCACTCTGAATAATTCGAGCTAAAGGAATTTTTTCTCTCAATCGTTGGATATTTTTGGCCTGATTTATCCACATAATTGCCTGAGCTCTCCATTTCATTTTGCCCATGTCAACACAATGAAGTCTCCGTACCTGATTTTGAAAGCTTCACTATTTCATGTCACGTTAGCAAGAGAGACACACGTAGCAAATTCTGGATGGGTTCTTGTGACAAATGACTTCTATGGTTTGCACGTGTCTCTTCAGTGACAGCTGCCGGGAAGAAACATCACCTCCCAGCTGCACAACTTGATCCTTCTGTCCCTGGTGAATTAGGAGGAATTGAATGTTTGGCTTTAAAGTGGCACTTCGCACTCTTCTCATTGAATATCACAATTGTGCCCGGACGAGAGGAAACAAAAAACCCCATCATTGGCAACTGATGGGAGAGAAAATAGTCCTCTCATTACAGAGATAATAAGCAGGATGTTCCCCTGCAGGCTTTCTTCTTAATTCTCCTTATTGTATTTTATTAAACGATGCAGTTTGAAATTAAGGCTCTGGCAACCTTCGTGCACACTCGGCATAAACAAGCAAACCAGAAACACAGTTCAGAGAGCAAGCATAAGCCCCTCCCCATAGCCATCTGCTTTCTTTTTGTTATGAAACTTCAATTCATCAGCAAAACTCTAAAGAAAATATTTATAGCAGAAGTGTAAGCCTACATTTTGAAGCTGCTCTGAGGCAGGGGTGACAGAATGTTACAAAACTTGGTTAGATTGTGTGATTTACTAACCAATCTAGAAATAGTCGTTTAATCTGCCTCATTGACTCATTCAATCTGTTGTTCACTCCTCCATTCACCCAACAACATTTATTCAAGACCCTCAATGTTTCAGGAACTATGGCAGGTGCCTCTGCTTCCATATCATTAAATGAAGATTATAATGATACCAGCCATGCCTACTTCTCAAACTTGCTGAAAGGACTACTATAGTGTCTATTTTCCACCAAGAAGCCACCAGAAGAAAGTGCAACAGCCATTTAGTCACCTTTGCAAAAAGTTTAAATATGATTATAACTCAGAGGAGATTTTGTTTTATCTGTCCACTGGCACAAAATTTCTGCTAGTTTTCACCCTGGTAAATCTGATCAAATATCTTCCTCTCCCCATTCTTACCTGTTCCTCTTCTCAATGGAGGGAAACCAATAATTCAGGCACTATAAACTTTCTCAATCACATTGAATAAACACACAAATAAACATACCTAAACAATAATACTGGCATGGAATCCAAATTTGCTAAGCAAAATGTCACCCTGAACTTCCTTATCCATTTTCCTCACAATTTATACCCCTCTGATCTGAGACAGCTTATAACCATGGCCCATGAAAGAAGACAGGATCCTGAAGATTTTCAATGAAGAAGTAAAACTTCATTGTGTTCGACAACTAGGTAGGGACAGGATATCTATTTCCACAGCGCATTCTAATCTATCCTTGTAACAAATACAGAATTTGTACCAGTGATAAGAAGCTATAACAAAGAAGGCTAAAATGTGTAGAAATGGCTTAGCAATTAGACAGAAGGGCATGAGGAATCCAATGTTGGAGACTGGGAAAACGGTAATCCATTTTATGCAGTGAGAAAGCATTTGCTATAATTATTTCTTATGGTAATTTGGGGGGCAGACCATGTGCTTCTGAGCCCACTGATTCAGGGGGAGAATCTTGAAAACAAATGTTGGCTGTGTTTGACAAAAGATTACAAGGATGAAATAAGCTCAGGAAAATCTTGGCTGGTTTACAAACAGAAATGAAAGGGATGGGAATGGTTCAGAAATTTGGAGGCTTGCAAATTGAAAAAATGACTACTTCCAGAGCCCAAACAGTAAAACGGGATCTCAAAAGATTCTGCAACATAACCACAGTGAAACTTTCCAATTGGAGGAAATGACTGAGGACACGCATCAGATTAAGTGTGTGAATTTCCCACCTATTATTCAAACATCTTCAGATTGACATAAAGTTGACAGAGAAATACAAGGAAGTGAGAAGCAATGAAACAAAGCAGTTTTAGAACTCTGTCTAGAAAAGAACTTTAGGTATGATTACTAGCACACGGAGCTTACCGGAAGCAAATACATCAGAAGCCTACTATATTTGTGAGGGAACCGTATTGCCAAAGAAACCATGAATCTGCACTTAAACTGACATTTGAGACTTGCAACTCCTGGGTCCCCAGTGTCCTATCAGAAGAAAGGTCACTGAGAAAATTGTGAAGCTCCCGAGGAGGCCATGATCCCCAATACCCACATCAGAGGTGGCAGAGAATAATGGAAAAGAAAGAATATCTCCGAGGGCACAGCTTGCAGCCATGGAGTACAATGGATGAAAGAACTCCTTTCAAGGCTCACAATTAAGGCCTCACCACCCCCAGGTCTAGTGGCGCCTTCACCTCTTCTTCCCAGTGGGATTTCATCTTTGCTGTGTGTCCCTAATCTTCTTCTTTCCAAGTGGGAATGTGTATTGTGGTTGTCCTGCCCCCTTCCACCAGTGTATGTCCAGTGGAGGGGGAAAGTTCATACAGTTTCCTTTCAGTTCATAGATCACCTGATCAAGAAGAATTTCATGCGAACCTGGCAGAGAGGCCCTTGTGTTCCGTAGAGCTTGATATAGTGACTGGATTGGACTCTGGCGTGTCTCCCCTGAGGGTGGGTTGAGATGTCCTTCGTGTGTGAAGAAGGGAAGAATTGGGAATTTGATGACTAGAAGAGCAGACTGTAGAGGTCTAATATTCATGTGTTTCTCTACATTTCCAAGCCCCCATGCACCTAAGTAGGATCACACAACCAGATCATGCAACCAGATCATGCTAGTGGAAGTTGAGAAAAAGGGACATGTAACTTTCCACGTAAATCTTCTCCTGTTGTTTCCATTTCCCAGCTCTGTTGACCCTGGAAGTTACGTGATCCAAATGGTGTAGCTAAAAGATGGAGGGGTATAGTGAGTATAGTTAATAATACTGTATTATATACTTGAAAGTTATTAGAAGAGTAAATCTTAAATATTCTCATTACAAAAAAGAAATGATAATTATATGACATGATGAAGGTGTTAGCTACACTATGGTGGTAATCATTTTCCAATATACAAGTATATCAAATTAACATGTTACATACCTTAAATTTACACAACACTCTATGTCAATTGTATCTCAATAAAGCTGGGAAAAAAAAGATGGAAGAAGGCATCAGATTTTGCACAAGGGAGAAATACAAATTATTTGTAGAGAGTCACTGGGGTTCTGGGGTTTATATGTTATCACAGCGCAGCCTAGATTAGACTAATTACTATATTATGCAATATAAACCCCATCCTCATTCTCCCCACAATATTTTTAGCAAGGTTTATGTTGATGACTAAATTTTTTGGTGTGAACGAATAAGGAAGGATGGGTTTGAAAAGTTTCCCTCAGTGTCTGTGTTAAAGTGAGCTGAAAATATTAAGATATTACGTGCTAAGACAGACGCATTGCAATGAGAAAACAGTTGATGTGTAAGTTACAGTTACCTAACTACCTCTTGGGCTCCCAGTGCTCCTCTCTCTGGATTCAGGAAGCAAATTTCAAAACAACTGCAACAAAATATCCAAACCTCATGCTGGGCCAGGATTTCAACACATCTGGGTATGGCTCATATGACGGTGTGGCAAACTTACAGAAGTGTATTTACTGGGAGTACAAAGGAGCCTCCTAGGAAAGGAGTCATCCTTACGAAGGAGAGATCTGGCCATGACAAAGTTCACTCAACAGCAAAGCCTTAATCATTGAAGGGAGAAGTGTTCTGGGTATAACATCTCATTTTCATTCATTTCTTTCCCTGGCCCAATCTCTAAGCCCTAGGAAAACAGAGGGTTGTAAATAAAACCTAAAACGTATTTAATTTAAACTTCTTCAAGACATTAGGTGTATTGACATAGCTTTGATAACTATGTAACAGAGAATAACACAAAATGAGGGGCAAGGCACTACTGTAACATTGTCACTCTGCCCTCAGCAAAGCTCTGGCACCTTGAAGCACTGCTTGAAGCCAGAGTACCAGGTAGTAGAAGCTGGGAGCAACGGCCGCCACTAGTGCAGTATCAACACGCCCAGCTGGAACAGCAGGATCCAGGAGAAATGGTGGCAGGATCAAGCGGATGGGACTTGGTTTATCATTAGACTTTTCGTGAACATTTATGAAACATTGCCAAGGAATAGTCAGGGTCAGAGAGAGAGGACTTTACCAGGAACTGAATTCTTGGGTGAATGAACGGAGGGTAGAGCCAGAGCTGTCTCATGTATCAGTTAGCTTTTATTACATAAAAAACTCCAAAACTTATTGGCATAATACAAGAACCATTTATTATTTCTCACAAGTCTAGATGGATTGGACAGCTCTGGTGACCTGGGCTGGGCTTGGTTTATTTCATTTGGGCTCACTCATGTGTCTGTGTCAGCGAACAGGTCAGCTGGGGACTTACTAAACTCAGGGGCCTTGGCTGAAATGACTCAGCTTTCCTCCACATGTTTCTCACATCCCTCCAGTGAATTAATCCAAACTTGTCCTCATAGTGGAGGCAGGGTTCCAAATGAGAGAACAAAAGAGCACAAAACTTCTCGAGATCTAGGCTTGGACCTGGAATACCATCAATTCCATCCCATTCTGTAGATCAAAGCAAATCATAGGACCAGGTCATATTTAAGGGGTGCACCTCTTGATGAAAAAATCTGCAAAGTCAACTGCAAGGGAGGCAGATACAGAGAGGGAAACGACTTGGGCCATTTTTGCAATCAACCCACGACATCTGGATTATTGCTTTTATCATATCACTTGTACGGGAGAAACTTGATTTATTCTCCATAAGTTTCCCAGAACTCTAAAGTTGGAAGGATCTTGGTGATCACTGTCTAGTCCAACCTCCTAATTTCAGAGAAGAAATCTGAGATCTAGAGAGGTTATGCAATTCGATTAATTTCTCATAGGTAAAGGAGGACTAGAAATTACTTTTGATTCAGCTCAGAGCTCTTTCTACCACACTGTACTATCCTCTTTCAAGGACACTTTTAAGGTACAACAAAATTTGGTTTTGTTGTCCATTTTTTCACTCACCACATTTGCCATGAAATGATTACCTAGAAAAACACCAGCAGTAGCCAACAAAGACAGTTGGTCTTTCGCCTGTGGTACCCTCACTGAGGTCCTGTCCTGCCCTGCTGGGACTTGCCCTCTGCCCTTGAACCCAAACCCTCTCCCACAGTGAACTTCCATCATCCTAATTATCTGCCCTGTCACATGACTGTCCCTCCCTACAGAACCAACCTGCCCCAGAAGGTCCCAGCATTTGCCCCACAATGTCTATATTTGCCTCAACATTTTATGCTTTTCAGAGAACTGCCCTCACAAACAGTTGCTAATAACCTTAATCTTCCAATTTTCCCTTCCTATTTGGCATAAATAGCTATAATTCTGCCTTCCTCAACTGTAGTTTTTCTCTAGAATCTATATTATGAACCAGAAAATTGAAAGTGCAGTATTTATTTCCCACTTCCGAAGATTATAAACCCATTTTAACTAACAAGCTGTTAGAAACACAGCTGCTCCTTATGTTTTTAACTTGATCAAGAGGAAGAAAGCAAGAGGGAAGGTACAGCTTTCTGGTGATATAATCTTTATCCCCTTTTAGGGGTTGGGGTTTGAGGGTAAGGTAGTGGGTCAAGAATATCAGGTGCCATCGCTTTCTTGGGGACAAGCAGGCGTTGAAGTGACTTGTTACTGAAAGGGCCCAATGCCTGTACACAGAGCATGACAATAGGAAGAAAAGCTTCATATTTTCAGTCATTCTTATGATTTATCTGTTTTTATGGGCATCCCAGCATAGTCCACTTCATTAGCCGTTATAGAGATTTTAATTCTTGAGTTAATTCTGTGTTCATTCATCAGAATGAATATTAATCTCTTTCTAATGTAATTTTTAATTAAATATAGCATCACCATTATGACACCCAAAAGATCTAAGTAGAGTTTGAAAGAGAACACAGACACTATCACAATAAAAAATCAGAAAATTCTGCTCGCATTCTTTTTGAAAGGCTGATCACCTATGAAGTAATGAGAAAAAATTGTGAGATAATGTAGGACAGATCTAATTAAGATAATGAGCTATGATTGTGGACGTGATTTTCCAGGGTTAAAGATCTTAACAAAAGGTAATATATGGATATATTTTAAATATCCTCTTTGGTCTACTTACTTATATTAGCAATGCCTCTTAGAAAGGAAAATATTCATCAAAAGTAATGACCCCGAGTCTGCTGCAAGTGCAGAGTTTTAACTATTTTCCTATTACTTATTAATTTAGTACTTTGACAGACTTTTTTTATTTACTTTGTACATTTGACTGGAAACTTTTTTTTTTTTTTAAATCATGGCATTCAAGGGGAAAGAGACATCAGGATCAATGTTCACTTTGCGCCTTAAAAGCTGTATTACAGAGATATTGTGATGTGGCTAGTACAGATTTAGATGGATATTTCTGGAGGAAACTAACTAATTAGCCTGCCTTTTACAGCAGTGGCAAGAAGACAAGCAGGGAAAGATGTCCTCGAGTTTTGTCAGTATGCCTGGGTGCCATCTTTGCTCTTCTCCAAAGACAGAACAACAATCACTTCACCCTGGGTCAACAGTGGTCAATCAGCAGAGATAAATATTCCCTGAGAAGTGCAGAGGTGCTGCGGGAGAGCCCCGGCAGGATCTCATGGCTGCACTACTCCATAAAGACTCAGTGTTGTACTTCGGAAACTCAAGCTCTTCGACTGGCACATGCTAAAGCTGATAGGTGGAAGGAACCGTAATCCAAGGGTGCTAAGAGTTCTGCCCACATCCTGTGCCCTCTCAGCAGTGGCTCTCAAAGGGAAAACTCAAAATCGACTCAGTGAAGCTGGTGCTTCAGCAGATTCCAGGCCCAGAGTCCGCCTCGCGTGTATGCCGCTCACAGTAGCCATGATTTGCATCAAGTAGCATCATACCTTGGATTTGTTTTAGACCATGGAGCAACCTCAGCTCATTACCAGCAAGAAAACTGTGACTCTGGTGCCGTGCTTGACCACAGCTGCAGTGGACTTCCAGGCTCCATTAACTCCGCAGCCCCCAGGACCCTTCCGTGACAGCCTGTGCGGCTACATCAAGTGGCTCTTCACTGAACTCCTGAGAGCCTAAGGATCTGTGAAGAATGTTGGACAAAATAAAAGGATGAAAGACATAAATTATGCATTTGAAAGCAAAGAAGTTGTCAGTTCCTTGTTCTCTGGATTTTTATTGAATCTTGCTTTGCATTCCTTTGCTCTGCTATGTATCCTCTTCCTCCCCCTCCTTCACTCTCTAAATCTACACACATACACACACACACACATACATCTGTGTGGTATTGTGGGAAGAATATTATTAATAAGTCCAAAGACTCACACTTTCTAGTACTGGCACCAACTCTTATGAGCTGTGCAGTCTCAACAAATCACCTAACCTTTCTGATCCTCCATTTCCTCAACCTTGAAATTGGAAAAGCACTATCATCTTGCAGGATTGATGCGAGGACTAAATGAAATGATGAAATTTAAGCACATTGAAAACTATAAACCTTTAGTCTGTGTACTCCCAAAACATAGTGCTGTCAACATGTTCCAACCATATCAGATAATTCGGGAAGCAGAGCCACTGGCTGGAAAGCTTATAACCAGTGATTAATTGATATCTTGAGGAACTAAAACAATGATTTTGGGGTTTGGCTTATTTCAAATGCAGCCCTCAGGGCCCTGGTTGGAGAGCTGAGGATCTGGGAAGAGGCTTGGACACAGGCACCACAGCAAGAAGTCATGGGGACATCTTTTCTGAGGACCTGTATCCATCGAATACATTTAAATAGTTACCCATTCTTCTCACTTTCACACCCATGCTCATCCCACTAATTTTCTTTCCTCTCTCCTCTCAGAATCCAAAATGATAGAGCAGAAAGAGTATTACGGACTTCGTGGGCAAAGAGCTATGGCTCTGCCACTTAGCAAGTTCTTTAACTCTCCAAGCCTCAGGTTTTCCTTCTGTAAAATGGACTCACCGATACAGTCATATTTACTTTAAAAGTACTTAGGACACAAATGTTAGGCTCCTTCAATTGTCTTCCAGTTGTTGGGGGTTGTTAGCAGTAGAGCAAACAGGACCCTCTAGGGGAAAATTCCACGGTGTTACAGTTGGGCCCTCCCACCTCCCTATCTGGACTGTTCCTCCTGGAAGTTGGCATTTCTTCACCCTAACCTCCTATTTTGGGTGGCATCACGCACCCCCAGCTGCCCAGTTGCCACCATTCCGTTACTGCAGTTTCCCTCATATCCATAAACTACTTCCACACACTTCCTCCAAATCTAAGATCAGCTCAGTTCATCATCAATTACTCTACTTAACATCAGGCTGAGAGTGACTGGTAGCCCATTAAACTTCCAGGGGATATTTTTCTTTTAAAATCCACATCTGTTGCAGTGCTGGGGGAGGCAATTGGCACTGGCCTTAGAGTGGAAGTGGGGAAAGCTGCTCATTCTCCAACACTTCAGATACAGAGACGAATGCCTTCCAGAGAGGGACTTTGCCCGCCTATCTGCATGAGTATCCCTCTGCCTTTGAGGTCAGTGTCAAGCCATGCCACCCTCTACCTGTCTCTACCCCATTATTTATCAACCGAGATATCAGCCAGGACCACAAACACAGCAAGTCCAAAACTCAGCTAGGCACCTTCCTTCCCAAACCTGTATTCCCTGTCCTAGTGAATTAAACTGCCGTAACTCCAGTTTGAAATCTGGTAGTTATCTAGACCCCTCCCTCTACTGCAACTCTGTCCTGGTTCAAATCCTGATTGCTGGCAATGGTCCCCCAATTAACCTTCCTTCCTGTAGTCTTACTTCCTCCAATCAGCTCTCAACAGGGCAGAGAGAATGGTCTTTGTAAGGAACAAGCGAAATCATTTTATGCTCCTATTCAGAACCCTTACATGTGCCCCCCTGGCTTATAGGACATCTGAGTCCTGAGCCTGTCATCCTCAGTCTGCATGTTCTCCAGCCCTCTCACTAGTCCTTCCCAGTGTTATACTTCGTACCCTACGTGGGGCTCTGATCTTAAACACCTCCATGTCTGTGCTCATGCCACTCAGAATGCCTTTTCTTCCCTCCCTGCCTGGCATTCTTAGGGATTTAGCTCAAGGGCACTACTTTCTTGGCTCTTTCTACACCTTCCCCACCCCCACCACTACCCTGCTTCCTCCCTATCCCACGTCTCTATTTTATACAAATCCCTTTTGTAGTTAGTGCCCAGTGTAGTATGTTCACAATCATTTGCTAACATATTTGACTTCCCGACTAGTCATGGAAACTTCAAAGATAAGAACTATGCCTTAGTCATCTCCGCATCCCCAGTGACTGTCCTCTAGCAGTCCCTAAAGCCTGTTTCTCCCCTCTTAGAAGATTAGAGTCATACATATTAAGGCCTCTCTTAAGCAAGTTGGGGGGATTTCATGATGATGGAAGAAAGCCTGTTTTGGAATCCAAATTTTTCTTTGCCCAGCACTAGCCAAGAAACAGTTGGAAGACAGTATTAAGTAATAAAAACACTAGCTAGTTGCCTGAGTGTCTGGAGTAATGGTTTATAATCCCAACAAGCCTTGGTACTCACATGGGTCTGGAGGCTGTTGTCTGATGCCCTATTTTTCTTACAGGGCTGCCCTTAGCACCTGAGTGTGCAATCCTTGCCTTCCTCTCTTTCCTCTCCTTCCAAATGGAGCTGATTTAATCATGTGTTGGAGAAGCATGTCTCTATACATTCTGGGGACTGTAAACTTTGAAAATCTCGTTCGGTTCAAATGAATGCTCTCCAACGTATTGCCTCAAGGTATCTCAATATAGCACAACAGTAAGACCTGTCATATTTTGACATTGTATGTAGTGTTATTCCAAAGAAACTATAATTTGGGATTTTTTACCACTGCTTTGTGCCTTTTTCACATTTCTCTAAAGTTTGAATCTCAAGGTGCCATACCAGTGCTTTTTCCTGTTCTCATTGACATTTAAGTTACTTTAGTCTGAGAGTCATATCACTCTTGCTTCTGATGACATCAGTTCAGTCTTCCCTGTTGAAAAGCTTTATTTGGGAATGTACTGCAAGTAGTAACAGCAAACAAAAAGTACATCCAGGATTTTTCAATTCCTATTGAACTATCAAGCCAATAGCTTAAAATATGGCTATTGAATATTTGCTGTTTTCCAAGCCCGCAACATGTGCAAACCCTTTTAAACCAACTACAAATATAAATGCGTTCTCTTTTCCTCTGACTTCCCTTATTATTTATGGGGATCCACCACCACACAAAAGAGAGGGGGCTTTCTTAGGCAAAAGTACAATGTACAAGATCAATTTCTTTCAAGCTTTTGCTCATTTGATTAAATTAATTATATGAGGACAGAAGGGGATACTTCCACAAGTATGTGCATGGATGGTCTGTTTGTCTGAGGATTTTGTGGTTGTTGTTGCTGTTGTCCTTACTTATTCCTTCCTATACCTGATAGTATAATCCTAATAAAATTGCTCTTACAGCCTGAAAGGATTTTTTTGCATCCTGGACATACTACTTTATATTGTATCGATAACTACTAATTAAAGGTTCATTTCCAATATTTGGGTGCAAAGGGTAGAGTCTAGTCAAAAGAATCTTAACACAATGGACAGTCTTTAGCTTGGATCTCACTTGAAAAATATAAGTTATGACAGTTCATCTAGATACTTTTGTTGTGTGGGATTAATAATAACCTAAGCCAGACAGTTTCTAACTTTACAGCAGGTAAGTTTTATTGAAAATATTCATTTTCCTTAAAATGCTGCCATTAATAACACTGCAAAACACCACTTCACGGGAAATGCTTATATAGTTAAAAAGTGTGTTTCCCTAACAGCTAATGAAGAAATGTACAAAGACCCAGACTCTTAAAGAGCAAAGAAAGGGAAATGCCGACTCTCCAGCATTCAGGTGTCCCTGAATCTACTAAAGCTGGATGAATGTCGGAGCCAGAGACTCCCAGAGGCCTTCAGTCCTTTTCGTGTGAAAATTTAAATTGATTGCTGATCCTTCAGCTCTGTAGGCAGCGAAGGATGGGTTTTATCTTTTTTTTTCTCTGTAGGAAATTTTTTAAAGAGATCATACTTCCTAATGAAATAAAATATTCTTCAAAGAGGGAAAAAGTGGAAGGCAAGGGGAGGACCAACATTTAAGGAGGCTCAGTAACAGTGCCCATCCAGGTTCAGCCCTCTGCTAAGGAGGCTACTTAGTTCAAGGTGTTATGTCAGTTTTCTGATGGAATCTCACTGGAATGCATATTATACAGGGAAAACCCAGCCCAGGATCTCTATAGTTAAAATCTATGATGATAAATACCATTTCAAGTAAGGTCTCGATAGAACAGAGCTATTTCTATATGCCAACCATTTGTAGATCTGACTTAGCAAATGCCCTGAAACAAATAAGCCCACTCAACAGATAGCACCCCTGGTACCTGAACGTGTAAAAGGCCTTCTCTATCATGACCGTACCTACTCGTCTGAACTATCCAACTTAGAACTCAATTTTACTTCCTTGAACTGATTCCCATGTGCCATTCTAGTCCCAGAAATTAAACATTAAAATGGATGCTTGAGAGAGAAGCAGCTTTGGGCAGACTCCAATCACTGTTTTCAGCATAGATAAAAAAGAAGTTTCCATGTGCATCCAGGCGTGTTCCTTACACCTGTCCCCAGCACTCAGAGTTCTACAATTTTGGCTTTGTCCATGATCGTTGCAATCCCAGAGCACAGCCAAAGCCAGCAGGTCATTCTGACCTGGCTCTGTCAGCCCCCTTTACCCATGACTCATTATCTCCTCTCAAACAGACATCAGGAGTCAGTCCTTGAGCTCTGCAACCTTTCTCTCCCAAGGGTGCCCCGGAAAACATCAATGAACCTCTGCTTTTGATAATAACAGACTTAGTAATAAATATCAATTTTTCCACTGAAGACAAATTGGTAAATGCTTGATGAATATTTTTAAAAAAGCTTCTTAAAAGCATCAAAGAGGGGCCGGCCTGGTGGCGCAGCAGTTATGTTCGCACATTCTGCTTCTCGGCAGCCTGGGGTTCCCCGGTCTGGATCGCGGGTGCA